CATGTCACTTCTAATCTTCATTCTTTCCGTCTAGTTTGTTGCTAGCATTGCTTCTTAAATGTAAGCCATGGCTGTGACTTCACCTATTGGCTAAAACCACCGAAAGGGAGGAATGGGCCTGTTTCGTACAAAACACTTAGGCAGAATAGGGCCTGCACATTTTGCCCTTTTTCACTGATTGCACAAAAGCTAGAGACTTTCTTCTGCCTTCCAATGAAGACTGAAAATCTAGACCAGCTATTGATACAAAGAGGAACTAGACTGATTGGCTCAAATCCAGGTAAACCCCAGCCAAAAGGGCAATATGACACTCCTAATTTAAATGTACTCTTTCTTGCTTTGGGTTTTTCAGATGTTCTAATGTATCAACATTTTGTTCAAATTAGGCTGCATTTTTTCCTCAGTGACTGGCATAATTTATTTTGAATAGGCATGAAGCCAGTCCTTTTCGTAGATGCTTTTTTGCCAAAAGTCAGTCACACTGATTACTGTTTTTAAAATGCTACAGACTTGTACCCAGGGAAAATCTGGGAGCATCTGATACTGTTGCACTGGTGAAATCTAATGGATGAGGATCTAAACCATTCCTTGGATGGGTGACCACTTAGCTCATGATACAATTGTTTAGGAATCCCATACTTCCTTGCAGGCTTTCCTTATTGTCTATTTTGTAATTGTTTGAAATTCCAAATGCCTCACCTGGTCTTTCATACTGAGAGTATTAATGCATAGGAAATTTTCATGTTAAATCCATACATCTTGGGAGATTCTGTGTGTATTCTACTGCAAATCAGAGTCTTTGTTGTGATAAATGCTGTTGATAAAAGTGCCTGTATTTTAGAGACAGCTTTGAAGTCGTTTAAGAATGTGTGCCTTCAAAGAACATATGTCTGACCCAAAACTATTCCTGGGCATACACTGTAATGTTCATCATTTTTTATTTAATCCATGCCATAATTATCAAGGCATATTGTTCAAACTCTGTAATTTGATCAGACATACATACTGAAAATCACTGTGTAAAAACATTGGTGGTACATTGTTAATAGGGACAACCTTGTTTTCATGTCATTTGAGTTAACTTACAATAGTAAAGTTTTAACTGCTAGTTATTAACATGGGTAATCAATAGCTGATATGCACAGATACTGTCTTCGATATCTCAAGATTCCTTTTGTATCAGCCCATTATTGTAAGCTGTCCTGAGTTCTTGTATAATAGGACAGCATACAAAAGCTTTTAATTAATAAATAATAAATTTCTGAGCACAAACATCATATTCACTCTATTCATTAGTTCATCTTCAGCACTTCCAAGTGAACATTCCCAGTCAATTACATTCTTGGTTATCAGATCATTTGGAAAGCATTGTGTTTGCATGCCATTTTCCTGGGAAGTCAATCCTATTGAATTAAGTGGCTCTTAACCCATGTAAATCTGTGTAGGATTGCAGCTTAAAAGATTTCTTTTTTAAAGGTGCATTCATGTAGTTTATTGTTTGTAGTTTACTCTAACACCTCACCAAGTATAGCATTCTTCAGCCTGGTGTCCTGTACATGCTCCCATCAGACCCAATAATCAAAGATAACGGGGGTTATAATAGAAAATACCTGAGGACACCATGTTGGAGAAGGGTTAGTGATTGGGAGGTTCTCATTAGTGAATAATGGACCAAAAAAGGTCAGGGGCCTTCCTACCACTAGTAAACACCAAAGCATCTCTGCTCTGGGGCAGTTGAGCTTGACTGGAGTATGTGGATTGCTGTGTCCCCTGTTTATGGTGGATGAACTGGCCCACCCATAATTCAGTAATAGTGATAATGGTGACACAGCTGTTGGTGTACTTCTTTGTATTAATATTCAGCCAGGTGAACAACTGTTGGCAATGGAGAATAGCTGTAAAGTTGGTAGGTACTTTTAACAGTGGGTAGACCATAGGTATTTTATTTATTCATTTTGCATATCTGTAAGTGTCTGTATTACTGTTTCCAGGATGGCTTACAACTAAATTAAAAACAAATTAAAACCTAAAACAAAATAAAATCAAGTAACAAGTAAAATGAAGTAAAGTAGCTGAATGACTGTTTGTCAAAATACTATTTATGCTTCTCTTCATTTCCTAATAATCCCTAGAACAGATGAATTCAGTGACCTTACTGTAAAATCCTACAATTTTTTCCTGGGTAATACTTAAAAAATATTTTATTGCCTCAGTTGTTTTTCATATTATTCACATTTGTTGAATTTCATGTTCCCAGTTACATAGCATGCAGTGATGCTTCTGGAAGTCTTCCCCAACTGTCTGGGATTTTATCGTCCTGAACAATTTTGTATCAGTAGTAAATTTGCCTTCTTTATCACACACCATTGACTTCAGATTGTTATGAATGTGTTAAATGGCACCAGTTTTTATGCATAGCCTTAAGATACACTCCTATTTACTTCTAGTATGAACACTGTCTTTCTACCCTTTTTGTTTTATATTTTACAATGAAATACATACATTTGTACTCAGAAGTAAGTCTAATTGATGTGTGCATAGGATTACAGCCTCAGTCAGTTACTAATCCATAAGAGGTTCTGATGGCCTATTTAGCTCATTATTTTGAAATGTTAGGAACCATTAGTGTAAACTTTTGAATGTTTTCAGTTTCCACTGGATCAAAAATAATGTTTTTTCAGGAATTTTTGTTTTTAAAACAATATATGATCAATATTGAATTTCTAACTGATTTTGTTTATTCCATTTTGTCCGACTGCTCCTGACTTTTTAAAAGCAAGAACAGTATGCCTTTCAAGCACTGCTGAAATGATTTATCATTTGCATTGGAAGCTTAAGGAACATTGTACATTCATAATAATCAAATTAGGAAAGTTGAATATTTTTACCATCATACCTGATATTTGAAGTTGGAAAGTTTGAGATTTTGAAAACATTATCAGGGGGTGGGGGGTGGGCAGGGGTGGTTATTGTAATAACACTGTAATAACATCCAAAATTTGTGGCTAGTAAGTTCATATTCCTTAGTGGAAAACTCCAAGTAGATCCTTTTTAATGTCTGTGTTGTGCATTTGTGGTTGTGAATTCAAAATCAAATTTTAAGCTTTTAAGTTTTGTCTCTGGCAAGTTATCCAAATAGAGGAAAGGGTGTGTTTCTCTTTGCAGTTCCAGAACAGAGCAATAAACAGAGAATAAACTTGGCAGTGAGATGAGTAACTAGAAACATTTTAATATAAAATGCAATATACAGACTGACAGGGAAGAAAATAAGATAGCACTGTTTTTTCCTTATGAGAGCAATTAAGGAGAGAAATTGTATATACTTTTAAAAGGAAATATTTGGGTTACTACATTAATGAAGAATAAACAAATTGGAAATGAACTTTCTACTTTGCTTCATTTCAAATGTTACAAGAGAAAAAGTAATTGAATAGAATCCATTTAGGCCTTCCTCTGCTTTCATTGGCCGTGAGAAAATACCTAGCCCATATGGAGATGAGTATAACAGCCCATGGTAAATCAATCACATGCATATGCTCCTGTGATGCTGTGAATTCAGCCTTGGTCAGAACCTTGCTAATGATACAATTATTCATACTAGTGTGATCCTTTGTCTCCCCCCTTCTTATAGACATATTTATGGAAACAGGGTTTTCCAGTGGACATAGCCATAACAAGCCAAATGGGAGTACCCATGATTAGATTTATAGCTCAGATTCTTGAATATTAGAATCATGAAACGAGAGCAATAATTATCACACCATGATATGATTATGCATCGTGACAGGCCACCATCAGAAAGAGTGCTGTATTAGATGGATCTTTGTCTGATGTCATCTAGAAAGATAATTCTTCTGATCTTCCAGTAATCTGGAAAAATGGGAGTGATATTAAATAAAGTGTTGTGTGAACCATTATTCATTGATTTCAACAGATACAGATGGAGAGAGTGATGCTGCAAGTGGTCCTTTCTAACACCTGTTCCTGTGTACAGAGGGCCACTGTCCATATTAATTACAAATCCTGGCCTGATTATTTTCCCACAGCTTATTTATCCTGCAGATTAGGAGGGTTTCTTTTCCTCCCCAAACCAGGATAGTATTCTTTCCCATCATAGTTGTTTTTGTAGGCATTAAACCTGTTCCAGAATTTTGCTCCAGAATCCTTGGAAGCTGACTAGTTTGTTACTACTTGTGAACTTTCATCTAGACACTTGATCTTAGCCAAAAGGCCAAGAAGCTTTCCATCAAAAGGTCTGCTATTCCTTTCTCTATGCAGGACAGAATTTGCGATTTCTGTCAGTTGCTTATGTTCGATTTTAACCAGTGAGCTCAGTGCAAACTGCCAAAATTAGTTTCTTCCATGCCATTATAATTGTAACAATTGTGGTGGCATACCATAACCCAATGTGAGCTGGATTTGCCATATAGTAAAAGGTACACATGGCGTGTTACATGCTGACATGGCTTGAACTGAATACAGACTGATCATTTTCTCATAACCAGCGTATACGATGGTAGATATGGGAGCTATTGCATTGCTTACGTAGCCCTAAAATTAGGATACCACCAGATAAAAATACTCATATACTTATCCCATTCTGAACTGAAGCTCCAGTTGCCTCTAACTAGTGGGTAAATTTTCAAGAGACGCAAATAAAAAACATCAATCTGCACTGAAAACTAGGCTTCAGGACAAAGCTTAAACTCGGTCTTCCACTGGGGCATATTAGTTCTGTCCACAGTTAAATCTGCTTTCAGTGGCACATGAACCTGAATAAGGAACCCTTCATTTGATTCACAGTAACACAGTCATCACAATAAAGTGCAGAATTCAGAACCAAATGGACAGAGTGGTTCTGACATCAGCACATTGCTGTAAGGCCTAAGACAAAGCCTTGGAAAAATAGCTACTGTAGTAATGTATGATATTAAAAGGCAACATTGTAGTTGTGGTTTGGCTCTCAGCAGCACTAACCTGAGATTTCTCAATTTTTCTAGTGTGGTAAGGCACTCCCTGGTCTTTCAAAGCAAGAAGATTGCTGTGGGACTGTGGGTACTTCCTGGGGTTTTCACAAATGTCAAAAATGTCCAAAGAAACCAGGTAAGTTGTTTGTTTGCTTGTTAGTTTTGTGTTACTTCCCACTATTTTGCATTATATGCATTATTTTTAAAAAGAATCTGTCTAAACATATGAATGGCCCTGCTTATGAGAATGTAAGGATATGAATAAAGTTTTTGGTTTTAAAATAAAAGCTGCTTTTATTTTTCAGGAAGGCAATTTGGTTTTCCAATTAGCAAAATAACAGAAGCAGTACCCAATTAAATAATTAGTATGGGGTTCATAAAGGTAGAAGAATGTTAGTTAATCAAGCACCCTGAAAAGAGGATTTTTAATCTCTTGTATTTGGCTTCAAGCTATCACGCTTTTCGGGAAAACACGTTCATATGCTTACTAATTTCCTATAAAGCTTAAAAGAAAATCATTCATCCCACACATCACCAGTAAGCACGAAGGGGAAACTGAACAAACTGTTAACACTTTTGACATTTAGCTGGTATCTGCGCCTGGTGGCTGACTCATTCACAGGATGCTGATTCAGGGTCATTTTATTCCCATGACATTTTGACGTTTTCCTTCACTGAAGTGATATTACTCGCCAGACAGTAATCAGGTCAGATGAAAGTAACCTTCCTTTGGCATCTCTTCTGGTTCCAAGTTTCATGACCTTGCCTTGATATTGAAATACTTTTATATTGTCTATTTAGCACCAAGCAGTTTCTACTAGATGATGATTGGCAACAGCATTGAAGACATTTCTGTGCATTTAAATATGCAAAGGAACCCCATGTAGCAACATAGTTTAATGTCAGGTTAACGTTGATGGCGGGTTCAAATCCTTTAAAGGGATTGAGGTATAGGTGTAGATTTTGGAAGTAAGTCTAATAGATTGGGCCTGCAACAAATTGTTTTATTTCTTATCCCTAGCAAGAGTACTCCAAGTCCGGGTTTCAGCTTGCCTTTTAGTGCTCTAAGTGGTGCACAGAGGATAACTGCACCCCGACAACCTCACTTTAGTGCTACATTCTGCTAAGAGGTTCAGGGTTGGAGCTGTGGTATGCATGCTCTCTATCCTAATGTTTCCTCCAGGTTACCAAAAACAGTCAGGGGCTCAAACAGGTCTATTCCCTCTCTCTCCACCATTTTCCTTTCTTAACACCTTCAACTCTTTATGTCTTCCCTGCCCTCAACCACATGCTAACACTACAATAGTAAACACTTTACTACTGAGTAAGCGCCATTGAACCCAGTGAGACTTTCAAGTGAATGTTTATATAATGATGCTATTAACTGCTCTCCTCACAATCTGTCCTTAGTTGCCCTTTTTCTCCTCAAGGGCAGAAGCAAGTCCACTCAAAGCACCATGGAAAGTGGGAAGTTTAGTGTCGTAGTAATCGTGAAGCCACATGTCTAGTCCATCCTCGCCCCCCCTCCCCAAAAAGGCTTGTCAGCAAACACACCCTTTTAGACATTCGGTGTGAACCTGGATGCTCCCTCTTCAAATAATTTGATATATTATTATGTGGTTCCTAGAAGTTTTCATTTCATTTACAGACTTGAAAGTTTCTGCCTAGCTAGGCAGACCCCAACATTGGTTTACTTTTGAGTGGCCCAGTTTGCTTCAAAACAGATAAGTACTCAAATATCCAGTGTTGTTAGAGGAAATAACTGGGGCATTTAACAAAACATTGCAATGCAGTGCCAGCCAGCTACTCATTCCTCCCAAGTTTTCTGGGTGTTTGTCCTCATCAGCCAGCATTCTGTGTTTTTGTCCCTGCTGATAAAAGGAAACATTTGTCAGCTTTAAATAGGTTTCAAGATTTTAAATGATGAAATTTTGTTAGCCTTGCATCAGTCATTTCTGTGTGTGAAATTTTCCTGACTTGGCATGGATTGCTCCAACAATGGTTTAGAGCAGTGTTCAAACTATAGTTTAAAGTTTATCTTTAACCACAGATTTAGATGTCGTGGCAAGCTGTGGTTAGGGTACTCTGGAACTGAAGGCTGGGTTGGGGTGTGAGGGAAGAGTGTGTGTGGACAATTGGAGAAGATTGGATCGTCCAAACGGGATCAACTGTAATTTACAAATGTGTTTCCCTTTCAAATTTAGCTTTTCCTGGATATAGCCCAGTAGTGGATTGTCCACAAGGTTACAAGAGAATTAATGCTACTTTTTGTCAAGGTAAGACAATTTCAGTGTTTGTTTTGAATAACTATTTTGAACTAAAATGAGTAGAGCACTTTTCTCTATTTGCCTAATTGGAGCATTATGATTAAATCTGATTTGGCAGTTTCATTTGTGAAATAAATAAAGTATGTTTAACAACAAGATATTGGTGCGTTGAGGAATGGAATTTCCCAAAACTTAAATGGATTATATTGCACAAAAATATAATTTGATTTTTTAAATTTTATTTTAAAATTTATAAACCATGCTTATAACCCTACATGGGCTCTCTGTGTAGTGTACAGTATAAGCCTATGTATATGTATGTGTTGTCTTTCTACTTCCAACCACAATGCTCCAGGTAGGTTACAAACATCATAGCTGGAATCTCATATACTAGAATATAATGTAATATTAGCAGAAAGGAGGAAACATAATTTGGGAGTTCACAAGCCAGAGAGTAACCAGGTGCATACTCTTATTATAATAGAGTACTTTTATCTACTCTATTAAATACTATTAGAAAATGAGCTAGAAGGATCTCATGAGTCAGCGACTACCAAAGTCTGGGTGTCACCATGAAAAAGGTTCCTTTTGTGTGCCTACAAACTGCATTTTTAATGGTGTTGGTATGAGATGAGTCTTCCCTGTTGACTTGAGTAGGCAGACAAGATCATGTGAGAAGAGATGGTCCTTTAGGCATCATGGACTTAAGCATTTACATCCTTAAAGGTTAATAATAATCACTTAAAAGTTGTATAGGAAATGGAATCCAGTGAAGGTAACATTGCAATTGTCTTTTGATCTAGATAACTGGATCTGATAGATACTGTTTGCCATATTATGAAGCATATCAAACAGAATCAGATTACTTATAAGCATGCTAAAAACAAAGTGGTGCTTTAAATATTGCTTGTAAGTTTGGGCATAATACATAAAAGGAAGCAAACTTATTCCAGATCAAATGCTGCGCTTACTGAACTGTCCAAACTATTCCATGAGCAACTTGCCACCAAACAGCAGGTATCATTTGTTTTCTTCCACTTACAGAATATTTAACTCTCTATCTTTGAAACTTATCTAAACATCTAATTGCATTAATGTTTTCTCAATCAAAAGCTTCCTCAGTTTACAAACCCTATGTGGTATCAGCATGATTAACAACCACCTTTTGATTATTTCCTTTCATTTGAGTGAACTAATGCAATGAAACAAATCTCCCAGCAATATGTCTGTGGACAACAAAGAACTGTCTGTTTGCAGATTAATTTGAACTGATTAGTACATAAGTCTGTCAGGCTAAGATTTCTTTTCTTCTTCAGAGATGTAACAAGTATCTTTCAATTGAACAATATAATGCGTATATATATACAGAGACCCCCAAAGTTGCAATAAAATCCAAACATGAGCATATTAGACCTCATAGCCTTTTTTTAAAATTCAAAGTATACTTGAAACTCTAATACTCATTCAAATGTATAATGTACTGTTTTTATTTAGAACTCTGAGTCCAAAGAAGGATTTGATTGCATTGTATTTTTCTGTGGTTTTTTTTCTTTCTTTAAAGGAAGATGGAAGGAAGAAAACATTATTTTCTTGATTTGTATTAATGAATTTGCTTAAGAAAAGGCCAAAACAAAATAACAGCTGGTAGAAGGCTTTTCCTTTTTAGAATAAAAGTATTTTGGCAGAATACCCTCCTAAAAACTGCCTGCATTTAAGAATTGAAAAAGTACCTAGATAATTGTTGTCACTGTTGTTTTTTTAAACTGGATAATGTTATTTCTCCCCTAAATTTAATTCATAAAAGTACCACTAGTTCACAGAATGCTTGGTTCAAATGATAATCATACCAGGTTAAATGTTACATTAGGCAAAGCTCCAGAATGCTTATGGGAAAAACAGTTTCTTTGATACTGCCTTTGCCAAGCACAGTTTCTTAAAAACATTTGCATCTTAAATAGCTTGCCTTCAGTTTGAGATATGGACCACCTGTGTTATTCCATTTAGATCTGCTACCTGCGCATAGAATCAGCATTAACAACTGCTAACTAAGATCAACTGACTTCTTAAGTGTAGCTAAACATCACGAGTGCAATTGTTAGAATGTAATAGCATATCTCTCAGAGAAGTTTGGAATATGTTATGTGATACATGTCCCACATAAGTGCATAAGCTTTGGGCACATGTACTCACCTTCTCCTCTCATCCACCCTGACTGCATGGAAGAGATCAGAAGCATCCTCTTCTCTTTTCAACTAAGCATATTTTAATACCTTAACTGGAATTGTAGTTAATTATTGCTAATTGAATAGACCCAAGGTCATTAACTGGAGAGTGAAGTCAACTTGTGTCAGCATTAGTTACAATAAACCAGTTTGCCTGTGTTCAGACATAACAAACTCTATTTAGTCAAAACTGCAAGCTGATGTGACCATGCTTCTCATGGCTATGCCAGAGGAGAAATAGGGAGCGCAAAGTACTTATGCACCTAATGGTTCTTCTTCACAATTTCTGTGCATAGTAGGAAGAACATTCTATCTAAAAGTGAGGAGAGCCAGTGTGGTGTAGTGGTTAAGAGCATGGGACTGGGACTCAGGGGATCTGGGTTCTAGTGCCCGCTCAGCCATGGAGCCAAATGGGTGACTTTGGGCCAGTCACAGACTCTCAGCCCAACCTACCCCACAGGGTTGTTCTTGTGGGGATAAGATGGAGGAGGAAAATGATGTAAGCTGCCTTGAGCCCTTTGTAGGAAAAAGGCAGGCTATAAATTGAAAAAAAAAAAAAAGTACCATTACTTTGTAGAATAAATATTGTTAGCAAATTTTGTAAGTTTTTAACATTTGAATTGTACTTTAATAACCAAAGGTGATAATTACTAAACTTTTGTATCAAAACAACAAGAAAATTTTCTGTCCCTTAACTAAATTATGTATTATGCATGTGAAATTCATAATTGGTTTCTTGACATTTCCACTTCAAAGTAGACATGTAAAATTATGACTTGACCATAATGGCTACCAATGCTAGGGAAGGGAATGTTCAGTTCTTCCCTTTGTGTACAGTTTTCCTGATCCAGCTCACACACATGCACATAGAAGATTATTTTTCTATGCAGGCGGGATTGACTAATATATAGTTTGTCCTCAAACTGTTGTTTGGACTGGGAGGAAGGGGGCAGAATTTGAAAAGCTTTGGTTAGTTTTCGTGTTAACTTAGATTCTGAGGCAGAAGCATGATTGTAACTCCTTATATATGCTATTTGTTTATTTATTTTGACTTGAGCACTACCATGAGTAATTAATGAGATTATAAATCCAAAAAATATAATCAGGATTATATGGCTATATATTTGAAAACAAAAAAGTCAAAAGAATCAAGTCCAACTTCAAAATATTTGCATATGCTGATAAATCACTGTATTTCAACAGAACAGAATATTCTCCTAGTGTGTGTATAAAGATTATACATACATACCTGTAGAATGACCAAGATTCAGTAGAGGAAAAGGCTCCTGTATCTTGTGTAAAAGAATAGCTTTAACTTTTTGCACGCTGCCGAGTGCCGTATGAAAACATTTGTTGTTGAAATCCTGCCTTCAACAGTGTAATTAAGAGTGTGATTTAATGTTCTCTTGATTTCATTTGAGGGGCAATAGGATACTGGGAATTTTCCCTGCAAACCTCTCCCCTTAACCCCAGACAAAGCTGTGGTATTTGAGGAGTAAATATCTGTAGGGATCAGGCTTCCCTCCCATACCTATAGCTGAAGCTCTGACCTCATAAAGAGAATGAAAGAAAATAGAAGTGAGGAGGTAGCAGGGAGAAAGGAAAGGAGAAAATCCAAAGGCCCCCCAGCTAACATCCTCACTCCTGGCAAGATAAGTATATTAGGTGGGGTCAGAGGTTCATTTAGCACAAAAATAATTTTTGGAAGACAGAGAGACTACAAAACCCTCTTCTGTTCCTCCCATTCTGAACAGTTGTTAGCAGGACATTGTATACTCTTTGTTCTGATACTGGAGGATTCCGTCAGCTGTGTGTCTGCTCTATAGGATTTGAAGAATACAATCCATTTTTGTCCTCAACAGATTGTACCCTCAGACTATTTAAGTACAGAAGTCTAGTCTTTCATCGCTTCAAGACACACTACTGGCTGGTAGTTTAATAATATGCCAATTATTGCAACTAAGAGAATGACACAGTGAGTGAGTGACATTCCCCCACCCCCAAAGCTTCCTTACTTTTAAGGACATGCTTTCCTGGCACTTCCTAGAAATTAGTTTACTTAGCAAAGGTGAGATTATCTAGGCATAGCATCCATGTTCTCTCAGTATTCTGCTGTTCTGCTTCCTGTGGAGCTTTAGTGAGGCAGTAACTGAAAAAAAGCGTTTTTTTCCTCAGAAAGCTCTCCTTGCTCTCAGCAAAAGGGGCTTTCCTGTCCCTCCCTAGGAGCTGGCAAACATGATTCTTCCAAGAAAAACTGAGGGGGCTGCATCCCACTGACACATTAGTAAAAATTCCTTCCCATTATTCTCAGGGATCCAGGACTTCATGTTTGAATCCTTCCTTGCCGTTTGCTCACAGCTTAGATATGGACATTTTCTAAAAGGGAAAGGGGGAATCTCCTTGGCATTGTTTGTGTGTGTGGTGGGGGGCATACTCAGTGATAGAGCACATGTTCTATTTAAAGGGACTGAATTCAGTTCCTGAACTTTCCAGTTAAAGCACTTCCTTAGCAAGTGTTATGGTTGGCCTGGAGTGCCCCACTTAGCCAGACTATATTGACTGCATCTTATCTAGGTCCAAGAGACAGAAACTTTCCTTTTACAAGCAGCTGCAGGTCTCTTCAGTGAAAATCTAAGTAAGGATCTCATGGATAGGACTTGGAGGGCTTTCATTCATAGGGTCACCATAAGTTGGAGATGACTTGACAGTACACAGCAGTAAAAGCAGGTCTCTGCTTAAGGGAAAGATCAGGTCACCTGATCCTGGCATTGTAATGCAGATGACTTG